ATGATTTTAGTCAAATTAATCATGCTATTTATTCATATAATACGTTTGGGAATGTACTTAAATTCATTTCATTGTTATTTTGGCCAGTAGTATTAACGAACGCTTCATGGTGACCTCTGAACTACAAATGAAATAAATAAAAACGAGATGTATTCACCCTATTTCGTCTAAGGTGATGAAGGACTGGTAGTAGAATTTTCCCACAATGATATGAAATGTATTCACCCTATTTCGTCTAAGGTGATAAAGGACTGGTAGTAGAATTTTCCCACAATGATATGAGTTGAGCTGACGGTTTCCATATATCATTGTGGGAAAATTCTAATACCAGTCCTTCATCACCTTAGACGAGATAGGGTGAATACATCTCATTACACTGATTTACTGGTAGTCTCGAAACCCTACTCTCTACGAATATAAATAAAAAAGAGTTAAGTTTTCGTCCATCATGCCAAATGATGGACAAAGTAGGGGCAGAAACTCATTTTTCTTGACTTAGTGTTAACTTGAGGCTGTTACAAAAATGAGTTGCAGTTCTGAAGATATCAGTCACGTGACAGGAAGGGCAAAATCTTAACAGGTTTTCACCCGAAACGAGGGAAGATGTCTCGCAGACTACATTAACTCTTAACGTCGTATTACATCCAAATGTTTGCAGAACAACAGAAACCAGCCGTCAACTTCTGGTTAGATCGACCCATCAATCTCTTCATCAGGTAATATTATATTAAATGAAAGTTTTTATGAATATGATTCATTGGAACCCAGGTTTGCTTCAAATCTAAACAAGTTTAGAATCATAGCCGGTGAATACATATACGTCCCAACTTTAATATTTTTCATAAGTTTGCTTAGGTTACACGGGTTTAAACAAGGGGACGACCTGTGACGGCAATGCCTGATATCTGCAAGCATAGCGATCAGAGCCTAGGAACTCTGCTCGGTGAGGCAGCAGTCTACGTGTTTCTAGGGCCTTGAGAAAAAGCGTCTGGAGTGAAACGCACGTTGGGACTGGAACCGAGTGAAATCCGTCAACCAGAAAGAGAAGGAACGGATCTACGGGACGGTAAAGAAGATTTGGATATGAGGCCCGAGTCGGATTAGCCGATCGAAAGGGAGGGGGTCGGGGTGAATATAGTGGGATGAGGCAAACTAGATTTACCACAAAAGGACACACATTTTGACGAGTGGAATGTAAACAAGTCAGAAGTTGTGATAGGGCGGTAGTTCGATAAGAGGGTAAATAGTAGATAGATGGGCTAGGACAGAAAGAGGAGTGAGAGTGTAACCGTTTTCGGTAGAACGATTGTCGAGGGATTGACTTCACTTGTCTCTTTGACGAGTTCGTAGCTTTGTGCGGGGAATGGCAGAACTGACTGATGATGCCGACTACGATGCCGGCGAAACTACGCCACACTGTCTCGAGTGCTTTTAGGTCACATGAAAGATGTTGATTACTTATTAAATAAAAAAGAAAAATAAGCAATGTAGTCTGTTACTATAGCAAATATAACTTTGTTTCATCGGCAATCCCATCATGGAATGCAATGCCTGGCCTTCCTTGAACGTCACATCTGCCCTGCGACGCAAGGTCACTCGTGACAATATGGCGCAGTGGGTAAACTGTCGAGATACTATGCTGTGCCACAACAAACCGAGTGTGAGTCCCGCTGGGGGTGCTGATGAGAACAATTCAGGCGAGGTACGCCCTGAAGTCCACTCCAGGCTAAATGAGAATTCCTTTTGGGAAGTAAGGCTTTGTGAAATGCAAGGGAAACGTGAGGGTTACTCATATGATTGTTGCCAAATTTCCCTGTCAGTCATTCACCACTTTATGCAGCTTAAGATGGCTGGAGCCCATAAGCAAGAATAGGCTAGAAAAGGGTAATTAAATGACTCCAGGTCGTTCAGAAACGGCCCAGAAAAAAAGTACAGATGTATACAAATAAAGGGGACTGGTTTTTTGGGATGCGATTAACAGGGTAAGTTCATACCTCGTGGATCAATCGACCTTGATAGTGAATTCTGTTAAAATCTCTTGTCACAAACTAAATACACCGACAGAGACACTTTAATGGCATTAGCTTTTTAAGTTTTCCCGGCAAACATGGATAAAAGCAGAAAGTAGGATAGAAGCATCTTACTAAACCAGAAAAACAAGGCTAAAGTATGCTAATGGATTTTTTGATATTATGTATCTCAAAAGTGTATGAAATAGGTCCCTGCTAAAGGTGTTAACGGCAGGCGAGTTGATAAACTCAAGTCCACATTGGATAAGGAGATGAGGCTTCTGGGGTACTGGCAAAGTTGAGCATTACTGTCAGTTCGTTGCTAGCATTTGCGGTACCCCCCTCAGAAGTGCTGGTGAAGTAATCGCTCTTTCAAGCATAATTGTTAAAATTCTAAAAGCTAGCTACAAGTATAATAAAGAGACGACTTAGCGAAGCTATAGCTAGTCTCATATGACTCTGTATATATGTGTAGATCAATGAAGAAACGACAGTGCATTATAGATTAGCATGAATGATTCATGCCACGGGAAGGGCCGTCTGCTTTACCTTGATCTCTGGTATTTGATCAAAGATCATAAAACTAGTTTTAAATGTCGACAGCCATATCGTCATTCCAGTAACATTGAACAAAACAGCAGAATAATAGCAGAAATTCTATTATTAGTCAAGAGGAGTTTAGTCTCAGGCCGACTCCAAATCTGAAAAAGTTTGTAAGGAGGAGAGGCTGTTGAAAATATGTTCACAGCCAGAGAGAGTTAGTCTTAGTGAATTCCTCACAATGAGATAATGTTAGTTATGAAGCGCACAAAAAGCTGGACGCCGTTTGTTGTTCACCTCAGATTTAGGCGCGCATATGCGTATATACGTGCCTTCAATTGTGGGCCTATGTTTCTGTATGAAGGACGGCTATATAAAGGTACCGTGCCTGCTCTGAGAAGAATAAGATCGTCATATGATGTAAACAATTAATTAATTAATTTTCTGAGTACTTTGGATCAAATCTCGTACAGATGCTTAATAAAAACCACATGATGATGTATCAACGATAGGGTAGGCCGAACGACGGAAGTACGTCAAATTCGATAACGTGACGTACAAACATAGTGAAAAGACACTCTCATTGTTCAAGAAGATCGATAATTCAAGGACACAAGAACTGGCTCTTAGCAAAAAAAACCAAATAGTAGAAATGAGCCTAAAAATAATAATCATAGATAAGTGAGAGTAAAAGGTTTAAATGGTGATGCATAGATATAGAGTGCCCCTCATTTATTTTCACTACTGTTAGATGACTTTGGAAAAACCATTCCATAAAATGAAAATGACCATTGAATATTTCATTTGTGTACTGATAGTTAATATTTCAACTAAGATCAAATTTTATATAATATTGTGCTGTCCATAAAGCAGAGTGATTTAAGTTCCTACAAAAGATAGCTAGTGATAATTTTTAACTAAAACTGCTGACAACATAATTTATTTAATTACCTTCAATCACTAAATGAATGAATCACAATGAGAAATTTGACCTTTATTAATTAATAAGGCTATATCCTGCAAGGAAACAAAGGACCACACCATCTTGGTCTTTATATCTACGACTTAATCTATTAGATGTATATCTAAGTGCATATTATATGAATATTCGTAAAGTATTTATGAAATGTATATAGATTTACTTAATTATCTAAAAAGGAAAAATAATGTGCAAGATGGCTCGTTTAAACAAAATATTTGAATGAAAAATATATTTATCCATTAGATCAGATCAAAAACATGATTAAATCACTTCATTTCTGATATAAGAATATTAGATTTTGAAATTACGGAAGCTAGAGATTTGATTAAAGGATGAATACTTTAGATAGGGATTCGAGCATAAGTTTCCCAAGTATTACTCG